AGGTTATCTGGGAGAGGAAAGTGCTTGCTTTATCTAGCCTCTGATCAGGTAGATGAATATATTTAATCACTCAGGACTCACTCCTAAGTGATTTCTGAAAAACCCAGATTAGCCTTAAAAGTAGCTTTTTTCATGGGGTTGATTCTAGCCCCTTGTGTTATTACTCTCCTGGATATTTTTTTTTTTACTCTTAGGAACAGACAAACATCAAGATTTAGGACTAGAAAGACTTTCTGAGGTCATTTTTAGTCCACCCATCCTATGTGATTAATTTAACTCATTACCTGGAGAGTTACTAGCTGGCCTGTAGATCTTTGAGTAAAGCTCAGCCTTGTTGTCTGATGAGAAATATAGAAAACTATGAAGTATTCCAACACTTTAGAAGAACATGCTTCAGGAAAAAAGAAATCTTTACATATAGTATTGAGAGAAAGTGAAGCCATAACCAAAATGTTTGTATCAAGTGTTACTGAGTTTTAGCTTTTGTCACTCCAGATATTTTAAATAATTCCCACTGTTAAAGGTAGTGCCTTAAAAAACACACACACTCACAGGATTTTATAGAAAAGATGTATTCTAGGCAAACACTATAGCGTGTCCCAAAAGATGTATACACACTTTAACAGCTGATAGCTCAATTATGAAAATGAAATGTATTTTAATAAACAGTGCCTTTATAATTATCCAAAGTGTGCGTATACATTTTTGGGACACCATTAAATCATTTATGTAGATAATACCGTTTTCTTTTTTTCAAAAAAAATAACTGCGCTTTCTGCAGTGCTCAAGAACCTAGTGTTGGGCATATGCTTACGGAAGCATAGGAGGAATTTGTGTGACTGAGGGATCATTCACAAAAGGCTTTGTGTTGAAAAGGGTTTTCAGCCCTTACCTCTGGGGACATTATTTCTAGGGAGGCCCTCATATGGTTTTCTTGTGAAGGCAGATTATTAACTGAACAATAGAACCTGTATCTACCAGGTAGGAGAGACACATTTATCTTTGGCGCAGTGGGCTCCTGTTTGTGGCTTTCTCTGTGGCATTGGGTAAAGTCATAATGGCTGCGTCTTGTCAGTTTTGTAACTCCTTGAGCCACGAGTTCCCTCCGGAGCTATCTTACCTTCCTTTTTAAACTGAGCATAAACCTCTGGGAGGATGATAAACACTTTTCTTCCTTTGTTGGAGACCTATTCTTAGGGACTGAGGCATTCCTGGCTTGGGTTGTTTTTCTCAATCATGTTGAGAGAGGTTTGCTTTCTGGGAAATACTGGCTGCTGGTAACGAAGGTGTCCAGACTGTAGGAGGCTGCCACATACTTACCACGGAGGCATGACAGGCTCAGGCTGGGAGGCTGAGATCCGAAAATCAGACCTCACTCCCCTTTTGTGTTCGAGAAGTGAAGTCACTTCACAAGGCTGTTACGGAGAACTGAGAACAGGCTGGATTCGTCTGGATGTCACTGCTCCATAGAAGCAACTCCCGGAGGGGAGTCAGACACTGAAAACCCAACAAAGCTGGGTGCCCCAACTGTCTCCTCAGCCTTAACCTCAAACCCAATTCAGATCTGTTCCATCCCTTGATGCATCTCTTCTCCAGGGCCAGCGCTGATCATGCTACCTGGACTCCACGTTACTAGAATCTAAAAGGTTCTCCCTGTCTGCTCCTCAGAGGCCCTGTCTGCCTTCCTCCATGTATGCAGAGGACAGCATAAGCGGGCCCTTCATAACTACTTTTTGATGAGAGCAATGATTGCCTTAGTCAGTGTGGTCGGGCCCTCCCTGACGAGGAGGAAAACCAACGGCTGTTGCTACGGACGTAACATTTAGAAGACTGGGTCAGGTTCTGACACTGAGTGACTGCCATTTGCGTACTTCATTATGTGTGTTTTACTGTTGCCTTAGGATGACTTGTGTTTTGGTGGCATTTCCTTGCCTCCAGCAAAAGGCTGGCAGAACTATTTTAGGCATGAGAAGGTGATATTCATCTGTTAACTACTTACGGGAGTCCTGGCCCCTACTGGAAGCTGTGGGGGAAAGGCAAGTAGTTGGGTTTGTTTTTAGCTCTGTAACTGAGAGCCACTTCCCTGCTCTCTCATTGGGACCGATGGACAATGTATGCCACAGGGTCCTGGGACAATGGGAGGTGATAGAAAGAAAGTAAGGAGAAGAGTCTTTCCCTTCCTGGTCTTTCATGATTGAATGCCTACCTGCTCTTATATTCTGAGCTCAGAGGCTACCACTGATAAAGAACTTGGCCCAACTCTCTTCAGACTCTTAACTGTTGTGGGTAACATGCTCTGATATAGCTGACTATTTCTGCTAGGATGTAAGTTCATTAGAAGCATGAGAAGGTCTTTATTTTTCACTGCTATATCTTCAATCTTTCTTTGCCTGGCACATGTTAGGAGTTTAATAAATAGTTAGCAAACACATGATAAAATGACATGGTTACAATAGAACAAACCTGATTGACTCCAAAAAAAATCTTTCTACATATTGCAGAGACCAAAGGAACCAAAAATGAGGGTGGTTCCTTGAATATTACATTTGGCACAACTACCACAGAGACTTGGTTTTAAAAAAAATCACCTGCTTTTTACCGATTTTTTTTTTTTTAATGTTCCAAGTAAAGCTTGCTTCTTTGCAAAATTCAGCTCATCAGTCAGAGCAGAGAAACCCATGTATTTTAATACATGGTCTAAGTCTTTCGTGTAAGTGCCCGTCTTTTGGGAACTGAAAATGAGATGCCAGTTATTTGATTACATCTTAAAAACCAAAAAGAACGTGGAACTTACGGCAGTCACCTGGAATCCACAATGGTATAAAGTTTCAGTTAGTAAAACGCAGTGGCTGAGGTGATTGCTTCAGAATCCCTGGTTACTGTTGCTGCCATATTGTCTCATGGGGAAACACACATACGCAAGCAGGGTTGCCCAGAGGCGACGTCTGTGCCTCTGAGAACAGTGCACAGTGTGGCCGGCCAGTGGGCAGCAATCCTGACTTGCATTGGCTTCGCCTCAAAAGGCCTGGTCTCCTGGGCACAGGCAGTGGCATGATGGGGATCAGATGCTTGAAGTGAAGCCATTGTCAGTGCAGGATGCTCATTTGAAAGGGGAATGCCTCACAGGAAAGAGGGCCAATTGTGTGTGTGTTTGGGGAGGGGGACTCTGTTGCCATGGTGCTTTACTCCTTTAATGTGTTATACTTGAACTCCTGCGAGTTCCAGGATGGGGTGACAGAGAGAAGGCAGGGAGTAGGATGGCCCTGGGTAGGGAATCCACTGCAGTAGGACTAGTCTCAGATCCCCTTGCCTATTCTCTAGCACTGACAAGGAGGGGGTGGGGAAATGCTCTGGAAAGGAATGACTTTCTCAACATGTAACACTGCAATACGAGGAAAGCACTACAAATCATCCTCCATTCATGCAGCAAATCATATCTTGTATTTCTGAACACACCTTACATCCTAGATCAAATGTTAAATGTGCTTAATTTGTTGAATGCCATCCAATGTGTTTATTAACGAGCTGATGGAGTGCAGAAAACTATCTTCTGCATATGAAGTACTTATAAAAGGTAATAATTTTTGCCCAGGTGTATCATTGTAAAAGAAGGCTAACTGCATTGGCACACTGTTGGTGAGCAAAAAAACTACTCCAAAAAATAGTTGTTAACAAAAAAATATTTTTGTAGAATGAAAGCCTTGTCTGAAAATAGCCATCGTCTCAATCCTTTTCATTTTTTATTTAAATGCTCAGAATGTAATTTAATCACCATCACTGTGAAACGCTACGAGTGGCTGAGCTCTGTGCAGAGGCTGTGTCTGCAGAGGGCTGGTCTCTGCAGAGGAGAGAGGGTTAAGAACACCCAGTTGAAATGGGGGAGGGTGCAGACTTCAGATTTACTTAAATATTCATGGGGCTTCCTCCATTTTAAACTTCTCCTTTTAAAAAGATGGCTGTGTTTCCCAGTCTGGCAACCCCTCAGGAAAGAAGAATTGCTCCTTCCTTGCAGAGTTCAGCTGAGCAGGACTAAGCGCGAGTGGAAACCCCTTCGGCCACCGGGACTATTCATAATTGATAAGGGCTGCACACCAGCCAGCCGAATCCACTCGCACAGGCTCTTGTTCCTGCAATTCCTGATTTCATTCCTCTCTCTGCCAGGAAAGAATCTAGAAGCACAGGCTTCTTGCTGGAATGGAGTGCGAAGATGGGCTTTGTTTGAATTAGGAAATGCCTTAAGTTTTGGAGGCTTTGTCTTTTATAAGTTTTGATTATTTTAGCACCGAATGTGCAAGGCTTTCCTGATTGCTCTCTCAGAACTGTGAATTCTTTCAAAGGGATCTGTGGACTGTGGTGAGGAGAGCACTCCAAAATGCCTGAGGCAAACTATTTGTTATCTGTGTCTTGGGGTTACATCAAGGTGGGTCCATCTGATTCTGTTCTGTGTCTTTTGTAGAATTTTGAAACGTTTATATCTGTATGTTTACTGTGAAGTAGGAAATTTTGAAAGGAGAGCAGGTTAAATGACACTGTATTAAAATAAACTGGGCTTTTTATCTAAATCCTTTTTACTTAACACTAATTTTAAAGGATATCCCCCTCCCCTCTGTTTTTCCTTAACCTTTTTACATATAATCTCCTCCCACTATACAGGTTATTAATTCGTATTTTAGAGTTGATTTTCAGTAAATGTATTTTAAAATAGTCTTACATTTTCAAGTGAAATTATCTTGACCTCAATTAAGATTCTTTTTCCTATGATTGCGTCTTCAAAAGAAATAAAATGTTAATTCTAGGAAATCTTAAGAAAACCTTTGTCCAGGGGTGCCCTTGGAATAATTTAATATTAAAAGGGTGTTGTATTTCATTGAAACAGCATCATTTGTATCATGGTATCTACTTTTCCAAACGCTTGGTTCTTAGACAGCAAAGTTGTAAACATGTAAGTGATCATTTGTTAGTTTTTAGGTGGTTAACACATTTTTGTTCTTCATACACAGTTCAAAAGGATGCTGAACCGGGAGCTGACACACCTCTCAGAAATGAGCCGATCAGGGAACCAGGTGTCTGAATACATTTCAAATACTTTCTTAGGTAAGATGCTAACTGGAATCCTCTTTCATAATGGAGATTTTTTTTTTCAGTATTAATCTCTGCATGGATATCCCTATGTGAGATTTAAATGAAGTAAACTCATATAAAAACAAACCCATTTAAAATAAGAACTAAGGGACGACCTTTAAGGGGGAAAAATATGAGCAGGAAGATGTTGCAAAAAAGGAAAAATATCCATCAAAGACAGAAGTTATGATGGGCTAAGTATATTTTTATGGACCTCAGATCACCCCTTACCTACCCACCTGCTTTCATCTCTGCCAAGACCTCTGAAGAGATAGGATTGAGGGTGTTAATCACCCAAACTCTCAGGATACCTCCATTGGCTCCAGGATGTGGTATTCTTTAAATTATTCCAATATCTGGGCTTTGAGCAAAAGGTTTCCTCTCAGATGGTTTGCAAGAAATGTGTTTGGTGAATAACTATGGTAACTTGGCCCAAGAGGATAGGCTTTGGAAATAAAGTGACTATTGCTTTGCTAAGTATCCTATAAAGGTAAATGGGGGTGAGGAGGGCAGAGAATCTTCATATCTGAAAGATTTGTTTGATTCCTTAATTACTTCAAACATCCTGTTTGATTACTGGGAATTGCTGATCTCATGTTTACAGGCATCTATTGTATAATGAACTTATGTGGGCTTTTTTTTTTTTTTTTTTTTTTTTTTTTTTAATGAGGAGGCCTGTAGGGTTTGTAAATCTGAGCTTCCAAGTGAATGGGTAGCATTTAGATCCTGATTCTATGGACCTGCAGTTACCCCTGAATTTTGATTGTTTCCAGAACTCCACCTCCCAGGGAAATGACCCATTCTTACAGCTGAACACCACACCTCCCTTCTTTTCTGCACATCATTCAGTTACTGAGCATTTGCCCTGATGCCTGATGGAAACATTCCTCTGCTGCTTTTATTGTAGAAAATCAATCCTATCTGCCTAATACCAGGGCAGTTTCTGCAATCAGCAGATCAGTCTTAGTGCAAAGCTCAGGGAATTATTCTGTAGCTGATAGGCACCTGACGATTAGCTGTTTCCAGCGTGTGGGTGTCTGCAGTAGCTGATCTTCTCCAGCTGCAGTTGTGATGGGCCTTTGTCGGAGAACAAAGGAGAAGAATTTTTCAGACATCTGAACTCAAAGGGGGAGCTAGACTCTAATTGAACAGAAAACATCATATACTAATTCTCTTATTCCCCGGCATCTCCCCTTTATTCCTTGGAAACCAGGTGTCTTCCCTTGTCCATTTGTGGTGTACTCCATTCTGTGCAACACCCAATTATTTTTCATAAGCTGGGAACCGTCTTAAGGACATTTTATAGGTTAATGACTGTGGGGGAGAAGGATAGAATTCATACGTGCAGGGATTGCATTTCTAAAATATCAGGGCTCTTCTGTCTTAGAAGAGATGCTCGTGACTAGAGAAAAGCTGCATGAAGTCCCCGAGCCCCTCATCATCCAAGACTGCACCTAAGCAGTCCTCAGTACTGTCACTACCCGCTTGCCAAGGACAACATGCATATTTTAGAATGCTAATTAGTGTCTCCTTGTCATCAAAAACTGATAGCAAGTGAGAAGGCTGGTGAGAAAAAAGATAACTCCTCAGTTTCAACACTATGTATCTAAAGAGCAGCCAATGTCAATTTTCTGTCAAGCATTCCATTTGCTGTTTTTAGGCACATCTCTTGAAGAAAACCAATTCTTTGGCTTCTAACTATTTCAGAAATTAAATTCCCAAGAACATGTTGCTGAGAAAGGTTGTTAAGATCTCAGACCTTAAAGATTCAGCATGAGGAGGGTGATGTGTGTGAGAGTGTGTCGTGTGTGTGTGTGTGTGTGTGTGTGTGTGTGTGCGTGCATGTGTGAATGCACAAGGTAGACCCACTCAAACAGACTATTCAGACAGATTAAAATGTTAAATATTCTTGGGAAAATATAGGGAGAAAATATCATATAAACATAGGATGCATCAGTTGCCTCATCTCGAAAATGGGAGCATTGCAACAGCTGCCACCCCAGAGCCTTCCAACTCTTAAACATTCTATGACTCTGATATAGATGGAGTTTATCTGTCTTGCTAAACATACCTAGCAGCCCATTCTGAATGTTCTGCAATAGACTGCAGATTTGCAATTTAACGACCTTAAAAGGTAAACAAACAAACAAACAAAGCTTGTTTCCAAACTGCAAATGCAGGACAAGGAGCTCTTAGGCCTATCTGTGAGCTTAGTGCATACTCCTGGAGGACCATGAGCGAAACCTTCTTCACAAATTTGAATGACCTTGTATTCCAGTTCCCTCATTTTACAGGAGAAAAAGCTGAGGCCTAGAAGAACAAAGTAACTCTACCAAAATTACTTGACTAATATGTTCCTGAGTCAGAACTAAAACTTGACTCTCTTGACTCCTAGACCTAAAAATCTCATCACTTCTTTAATTAGGAAAGAAGCCTATTCAGAACTCAGACCATATAGAAGGAAATCACATTTAAGGGTATTCAAGTAATATTCATTCTTTTGAAGAAAAGTCTTTAGAAATCAGGATTATTGAACCTAAAAATAAAAAGGTTTATTAGCAGTTTCCAGTAATATAAAAAGGTCTTGTTAGAGAAAAGATACCATCTCAGTGAGAGCAAACTGAGTAGGCCTTAGCAATTTAAGTTAAACTTGGAGAGCAATATTTCAATAAGAGTCATTGAATGTTAAAATGGGTCATTAGAAGGAGGGAATCCCTTACTCCAGGGATCTGTGACTTATGTTATATTTCCATCAACAGGGTAGTGTCCATAAACTTCAAAATGTAGTCAGGAGACCATTTACCACTGCAGGCATTTCTTGATGCTCTTATATGGGCTCCAGGTTGCTGGAATAAGAAGAAATAAAGCAGGACCCATAGGGTGGGAGCATAGATAAAGCAAGATACTTAGATGTGGTCTTACAAGTTACTTAACATTTTTATGAACAGTGAAAATCTATCCTTATAAATCAACTGCTTAACTATCTCAAAAATTAAACACAGGATTTTCAAGGTGCAAGGAAAATAACTTGGGAACTTTTCACCATTCAATGCTGTGATCAAGCAAGAAAAGCACCCACAATTATGCCATTAGCCAAATTTTGACTTTTTTTTTTTTTTGCATCTTTTTGTTTGTTTATTTGTTTTATATGGCTCCACCATACCCCACGCTCTAATCTGACCATTCTGTAAATGTAAATTCACGAAATGTTTATTGTGATTCTTTGAGTCTGTGTTTCAGGTTATTTCCACATTGTGATGGCTAAGCATTTAACAGAGGAAATTCAGAATAGGAAAAAGCATAGAACAGGAAATTCAGAATAGGAAAACCTACCAGTTGTTTCAATGTCTGCTTAGGGAAACACCCATGAATGCCCAGTTGGCACTGTGTGAATAATGGCTTTCTTCTTTATTGTAATGTTCTCTGCGTTGACACAGTGGTGGTTCAGCTTAATTACTCACTGCTACGGGGGATCTTTAATTAAGCAAAGGGGGAAAGCTGCTGGTCCCACTAGAGGGTCTTATATCTGGGTTGGCATGGGAGAATCCAACAGCCAGACATGAAGAATGGTGAAGAGCGGTGGTTGGGGGAGGCAAGGGCTATTGTGACGTTGCTTTTTAGCAAAAAGTAGTAATTATTAAGAGTGAAGTGACAGGGAGGAACGTAATTTCAAAAATAACATAATCTGTCATTTCTAATGCCAGAGATTGTGAGACCAGAAAGAGATTTTTCTTTTTTACAGGAACCTCAGTGCCTGGGTTCTATGCTATTAAATCACTGTATCTGGAACACAGTCATTGCAAAATAAATATCTGTTGAATAAATCACCCTTTGAGCTTGGGCAAGTTGCTGACTTCATCTGAAAAGTCAGAATGTGGTATTATTATTGGTTCTCAAACTTGGCTCTGACCATCACAGTCACTTGGGAAGCTTTTAAAAAGCACTGGTTCGGGAGGACTGGGTGGGGCCCATCAATCTGTATTTTTTTTAAAGTTTCCTGAATGCTTCTGATGCTCAACCAGGTTGGAAACCCCTAAACTCATAGAAATGACCAGTAAAATTCCTCCATAACCAAAAGTCCCACTAAGGCTGATGAGGCTAGGAGCTCGTGGGCACCTAGCGATGTTACTGATGCTGGGGAGAGGGAGCACCCTGTCCCAGCCCTACAGCTGGGTGCTGAGGTGTACATGACAGCTGCTTCTGTCTTCCTGAGCTCGCTTTGCTTTGATTAGTTGGCCCCAGGGCCCCGTGAGCAGGCAGAGGTTTCTATGCTATCATCTGTGAGAATTGAATGTCAATAGTCTAGATGCCAGCATGCCAACTGGAAACATGTCATTTTCAAATGGAGAAACTGTATTTGCACTTATGTTCACTGTATGAAGCAGAGATAAAGGCAGGAACTTTTGAAAGCTGCATTAACTCTTTCAGTCACAGGTATCATTTAGTTCAATGAAATAGCTGCTAAGTTATTCAGTAAATTATTGCTCAGTGCACTTCCAGGCATCCCTATTTCCTGAAAGAATTAATGCATTTTTCAGAAGTAGTCAAGATACATCGCCCTGTGAAGTGAAATGAAATATTTGATTGGTGATATTTTTAATAGCACACGATAGAGAAAAGTGCTTCTACAAGCAGTTAGACATGATTTTTAAAAAAATAATTCTAGCTCTACTATTACCTTGTTGTAGCAGAATTTTTTAAAAGTTTAAATGAGATGATCACAAATATTAAATAAGCATAAATATTTTAATCAATGTAATGCCTGTTACTAATGACAGTTTGTTTATTATTTTAATAGAACTAATAAACCAAAGGCATGAAGTAAAACTAAAATTATGGTCTTCCTCTAATCCTCAAATGGTAATAAACCAAGGCTTTAAAGAAATTAATTGAAGTGATTATTTATTTCTCTCACATACATACTACTTATCTAAACTAAAATTATAAGTTATATCCAGCTAAAGTTATATGAATCTTTTAATTTAAAAATTAATACACATATAATAAAATTAACAGAACATAAAGCCTGTTTTTAGTAACCTGGTCTTGGCTGCATGAAACTTTCCCATTATACAAACACATAAGTTATTAACTTAAAAAATCACTTATAAATATTGATGCCCCACCTTGCAAATGTACAAGTGTATTTCTCCTAAATTAGACTGCAAACAGAAGAGCTGGGATTGAGTTTCACCTCTGCCATTTCTTGGACAACTTATTTAGCTCCTCTGGGCCTCAGTTCTCCCAGGAAGATAATGGAGCAAAATATTTTTCCCATCTACTTCACAGGATTGTGCTGAAGATCAAGTGAGATAATGCATGGTAGTTCCTTATCAGATGCTTAGAAATTGTTTTGCATAAAAAAAAACTGATTGAGAAGTGGTTCTCAATGACACTCATAGTCTGAAAAACTTTTGTTACAGACAAGCAGAATGATGTGGAGATTCCATCTCCCACCCAGAAGGACAGAGAGAAAAAGAAAAAGCAGCAGCTCATGACACAGATAAGCGGAGTGAAGAAACTGATGCATAGTTCAAGCTTAAATAATACAAGCATCTCACGCTTTGGAGTCACCACAGAAAATGAAGATCATCTGGCCAAGGTGGGTATGTGCTGGGAGTGTGTGCATCTAACTGTCTGCTTTATAGCAGCCTAAAACTACCTGCTAGGAAATGGTAGTGTCTTCATTTGCTTTATTATTAAACTAGAGGCCCGGTGTATGAAATTTGTGCATTGAGAGGGGGTTCCCTCAGCCCAGCCTGTGCCCTCTTGTAGTCCAGGAGCCCTCAGGGGATGTCTGACTGACAGCTTAGGCTCTCTCCTCACTGAGGACATCTTTAGTACTGCTGCAGAGGTGGGAGAGGCTCCCGCCACTGCCACTGTACTCGCCAGCCGTGAACCCCACTTCTGGCTGAGCAGCACTCCCCCTGTGGGAGTGCACTGACCACCAGGGGAAAGCTCCTGTGTTAAGCATCCGCCCCTGTTGGTCAGTGTGCAACATAGCAACCAGCCATTTCTTCGTTTGGTGGATTTGCATATTAGCCTTTTATTATATAGGATTGTATGATAAGGAGGCTGGTGTGACCTCCTTGTCCACTGATAAGCACCTAATTAAAGACTCTTTTTTTATATTAAAGAGTCTTTTTTTAAACCTTAAATGGGATTTATAAATGGGTAGTTCCTCATGAGTGAGAATCCTACTGAAAGTTCACTAAAAGAATCCACAGGAGGCCAGTGGGCAGGATTGAATTTCCCAGAGAACATTTTGAGGACATTTCCCAAGGAACAATGGGAAAATCTGAGCTGGTTGGCAGAGCTAGCATGGAAATGAGAGAAACTGACAGTTCTGTCTCTTGAACCCAAACCCCAGTAGTGGAGGAATGGACAGAAAGAGTTATACATGAGTTAGGAGGCTGTGTGAGGTAGAATGCTGAGGTCCTCTGAGCCTTGTGAAAATGGAAAGAGCTTTCTGTGAGCAAAAGGGCATTCAGTGAGGCCTTCTGAAAAGTATCATTGGACTAAGGTCTGTTACACATTGGGTCAAGCCTGTCTAGGGAGAGCCTAGAACCCTCGCCCCAGACAGTAATTAAAAATGGAATAAACTGTTCCCTTAATCAGATAATCTTAGAATAATCCTACTATCCAGGACTAAATGATGTTTCTTCCAGATTTATCTGTGGCCTAGGAACTGTTGGATATAATACTTGACTGGCATTCTTCATTAAATTAGATTTGATTTATGCACATTCTAGCAGCTGAGTCTTTCTAACCTGATCCTTAGTGAGAATAACTGAAGAACAGAGGCATAGGTCTAAGATAATTTTCTAGCTCTATTCATTTGCAGCATCTAAATTTATAAATGCAATATATAGAAACTTGGAACTAGAATGAAGAAGATACCCAACCTCCTGGGCCATGCCATTTTAACTTTTTCATGCAACTAGAAGATTCAAAATAAATACTCAAAAGATAGATAGCCATTGTCCAAAAAGTAAATATAAACAATGAGTAATGCTTAAAACAAACAAAACAACAAAAAATTTCTGTCCTTATACTTAAATTCCTCTAATTTTTCTTACAGGAGCTGGAAGACCTGAACAAATGGGGCCTTAACATCTTCAATGTGGCTGGATATTCACACAATAGGCCCTTAACGTGCATCATGTATGCCATATTCCAGGTGAGTTCACAGGAAAGAATGCTGGTTATTCCATTGGATGACTATGGCTATTTTTCTATACCAATTTACTTTTCTGATTTAGCTTCTTTTTTTTTTCATTTTTGAACATCCACTTATTTATTTTTCTAATTCATTTTGCAATATAGGAAAGAGACCTCCTAAAGACATTCAAAATCTCCTCGGACACATTTGTAACCTACATGATGACTTTAGAAGACCATTACCATTCTGACGTAGCGTATCATAACAGCCTACATGCTGCTGATGTAGCCCAGTCAACCCATGTTCTTCTTTCAACACCAGCATTAGATGTGAGTAATTATGAACTCCTATGCCTGCACATCCTCTTCAAAACGTGCCACACAATGTAATATATTTGCAGAAATAATGTAATTAGATGATTGCTTATTCTTGAACTGGTTCTTGATTATGTGTCCCATCTATCAATTGAGTTACCAATATCAGAGTAGCCTTCCCTTTACATCTCTTATGGTTGAAACATTATTTAATTATCAAGAAATTAACAGGACACTTTATTTTTTATTATATCTCTTGTATCTAATAGGTGTCTAGTTCAGTGACTGGTATATGGTATATCTTCACTATGCATGTACTGATTTCAGCTGCCCATCCTATCCCAAGCATTGTGAGGGATAGCACAGAAGCATAATATAAAATTTTCTATATAGTTCCTGTTAGGAATAAAACATCTATAGGAATTCGTATTCTCCTAAGAATTCATAAAACTGATTCTATGGGCTGAAGAAAAAGCAACTGAAAAATCTAGATCTGAGAATTGCTAGATATCTTGCTGAAAGGTGACTTCCCAACAGATTAATGCATTTGTATGCACTGACATTAGCAGCATTGCACCCAGCAGACTGTGTTCTTTCATCACATATGGCAGTGATGACCAGGTGCTTCCAAAATGAGTAGGCTCACTGCAGTAAGGGCCTGGCCAACCTTTATCCATCTCCACCTTTGCAGATTCAGTTTACAAGGTGAAGAAAGATTAAACCGACCACAACTCTGTTGCTTGGGTTCCATACTTTCTGAGGAAATAAATCCAGGAAGACTTGGGAAAGTGAAATGGTGCTAAGGCTGTTCTATTTCCCTGAAGGACGTGTTCTTTACAAATATCTGAGCAGACCAACACTATTTATCAGCTGTCTACTAATTGTTGATAGGATACCCACTGTGAGACCAGAAATTGTCCATGAGTGCCACAGCTATAGAGAAGGGAGAGTTCAGTGTGCCCTGTAGTAATCAGAATGGTCTTCGTGGGAGAGGCAGAAACTGAGCTGGCATTTGAAGGGTCAGAAGATTTAAGTAATCACAGAGGACAAGGAAAGACATTTCAGTGGGAGAAAGACATTTTAGCCAGAAGGAATATGTACCTAAATACTAGGTTTAAATCATTGTGTACCAGTGAGGCTAGAGGAGGCTTCAAAGAAATGTTCTCAAACTTTGTACATTATAAGTCTTTAGTGCATAGGTACTAAATAAATGGATGAAGGAATATATGAAACCTTCTGATCACACTACAAATGTAGCCCTCAGAAATAATTGACTGCCAGTCTTACGAGTCTGGAATTTGGCGTTTGTTCTCTAAGTTACACAGCCTGAAAACATAGGAAGTTTGTTATATCTCAGAGCATAGTCTGATTTGCTTCTTTGACTTGCATGCACTTGTGATATATAAGCACCATTCTGCCATACTGAGTAGCCAGGAAACAAGCATTAGGGACCAACTGATCACTCACCATAGGCGCTGGACCAGGGCCTTCCCGAGCCACAGCCCCTAGGCCTGAGGAGGGCATGGGCTCCAGCCGTCATTCTTTTCACATGAGACCTTGCAAGGATGGATAGAATCCACACTTAATTAAATTAGTATATGAGACATTATAAAAATCAACACACCGTCCTTCTCCCAACAAGAAGGAGGTGGGATACTTTAACATAAAACAGAATCTCAGGATGGGCAAATGGGACATGGAGTGAAATGTGCTCATTTTGCTCTGCAGGCCGTCTTCACAGATTTGGAAATCCTGGCCGCCATTTTTGCAGCTGCTATCCATGACGTGGATCATCCTGGAGTATCCAACCAGTTTCTCATCAACACAAGTGAGTTCACCACTAGGACAGTCATCCAATGTCATCCTATGAGTCACTGCTTAATTTTTTTTTTCATTTCTCCTAATGTTTTTGTTATGGATAATAATAAGAGTAATAATGAGGTAATCCTTCCATTTCACTCAAACTGGTCAGACCTTTCCTGGATACTGTGTCTAGTTTGGCAACATCATTTTTGAGCTGCATGGAGAACTTGCGAGGGGTCAGAGGGGAGCCATAAAAAGTACTCAATGTTTGGAAAATACAATATGCGAGGAAAGAGTAACAGATGTGGAATTGTTCAGTGAGCACAAGGGAAGGCTTGGGAATATGTGATAATGACTTTTAGGATTAGGCAGTGCTCTCACACACAGCGTGGTGGCTCAAGAGTCTCCCTCGCTACTGAGGAAGCAGGCCCAATGTTAGATCGGAGCATGGGAACCCCTAAACAGAAAGTGTAGTTAAGAGACAGAGCACCATCTCTTGGCTAGTTTTCTTGATTAAGAGAAAATGTGACTTCATGCATTTGATGACCATATTCTCATTTGTGACAGGGACTCTGCCTAATGAAAGATGTCTGAATCTTTTGTGTGCTGTAGTTTCCATTTCTAGATATCGCAGCCTCTGGCGTATAGAGCCAGATGGCAGAAAATTTAACATCAGGATTGTTCTAAAAAAAAGTATTAATGTTTTGTTACCACATTTATAGAAAGCTCTGAAAAGCTACATTATTTGAATAAATTGAAATTTTACAATAACACCATTCTCTTCTTTAAAAACACATAACTCACAATTAACAGCACTGGCAAGCATATTAAAAAAGCAAATATAGTTTGAAAAATCCTAATATATTTGATAAAGTTCAGTGACATTTTCAGTTCATTCTTTTCCAAAGCACAAAATGTGTGAGCACATAAAGGAAATTACAATCTGAGATAAAAGTAGATGTTGCAGCTTGGGAATGCTTTTACCTAATGTCAAATTCTTTATAAACTGGAGAAGGAGAAAAGAGATTTTAAAATACCATGAATGCTAATCAAAGAGAAAGCTTATGCACTAATAACTACTAGAAGTATTTTGGCTTAGAAACTGACTACATTTGTTTGTAGAGGGAGAATATTTCTTTAAGAGCAAATGGGCATGCAGATCTTAGCTCTTAAAACTATTTAAATAGAGCTAGATCTGATTTCATATTGAGGTAATGCAGACCTTTGAATTCTACCCCTTTTTATTAAGTCATCATTTTTTCCTGTTTACTAGATTCAGAACTTGCTTTGATGTATAATGATGAATCTGTGTTGGAAAACCACCATCTGGCTGTGGGTTTCAAACTGCTGCAAGAAGAGCACTGTGACATCTTTCAGAATCTCACCAAGAAGCAGAGGCAGACACTCCGGAAGATGGTTATTGACATGGTAAGACTTCAGCCTTTCCAGGTTCCTCACTTCCTTCTCCCGTCACAGGAGGAGAAATCTCATTCTCTCATACACTGAGCTCACCGAGTATTTTCATTTTCTTTTTATCCAAGGTGTTAGCAACTGATATGTCCAAACATATGAGCCTGCTGGCAGACCTGAAGACAATGGTAGAAACAAAGAAAGTGACAAGCTCAGGCGTGCTTCTGCTGGACAACTATACGGATCGTATACAGGTATTTGAGAAAAAGCCTCTTATTGAACACAAAGCCAAACCAAACAACACTTAAAAATGAAAACAAATTAGTTGCATGTCCTTAGTTATTACTACATCTGTAGGCCTATTTTAAGGACAAACTAAGCAAGCTAAGGAATAACGAAGAAAAACATAGCAGCTTATTCTCTAATTTATGAGGAAAAACATAACCCTATTTATTGAATTGCTTTAGTTCTAAAAATAAATGGCAAGATCTATTTGTAATAGGGTGTATGTGACTGCTGGTCCCCAAAAGCTGATGTTTGGATATGAATCCTATTGACTTGCAGTTTGTTAAGCCTGTTCTAGTTATACAAATTGCCATCAGCTGGTCTCTTTCCACAAGTGGAAAATATGAAGATATCTACTTTGAGTAATTCTTTGCATTTTTTCCAAACTGGGGAAAGGAAATGGTAGCAGTATCTGACCTCTAATGTCCTTTCCAGCTTTTAAATTCAATGACCATCAATTTAAGAAGACACACATTTTCCCTTTTAGGACTCTTATTTTAACCAATTCTGGCCAACACCCTTGTAATTCTGCCTTTTTCAGCGCACACACCATAATTATAATGCAACTAAAATGTTCTTGGGTTGGGTACCAAATGTACTAACACAAGAGGGATGAGATGTTCTAGTAGTATTTACACCTAATTTTATGGGATTTCCAAAACTTGATGATTTCAGGTCCTTCGCAACATGGTACACTGTGCAGACCTGAGCAACCCCACCAAGTCCTTGGAATTGTATCGGCAATGGACAGACCGCATCATGGAGGAATTTTTCCAGCAGGGAGACAAAGAGCGGGAGAGGGGAATGGAGATCAGCCCGATGTGTGACAAGCACACAGCATCTGTGGAAAAATCCCAGGTATCTAATATAAGGGTTTCAACGTTTTTGTAAGATCTGCTGGCTGTAGAATTCGAGGGTTCTAGTTAGTTCTTTCCTTTTAATAGGATATATACAGATTACATTAAATGATAGGGAAGCAGCCACCCATTTAGTTCCATTATACTCAGGGCCCATTTGTCTTCTCCATTGCACTGAGTGGAGGTAAAGCAGGCATCAGAAGCCAGCAAAGTTTGAACTGTGCGGCCTCAAACAGTTTAGATGGTTTACAATCTTGGCAAATCCAGCTGACTGAACTGAAGACTGCAGGCCTCCTCCCACTCATCCACCCAGATTTCTCCTCGCTCTGTCTTTACCCTGTATCTCTACTCTTGTTCCCTGCACCCCATGTTTGCTGTCTCTCCATAACCAGCTCACTGCCACCATCACCAGAGGTAGTGAATCTCATTCCTACAAATCTTCTACCTCATAGTCCCAGCTCCATCCTGTGCCCCCTTCCAAGGTTACACCTACACTCTGAGAACATGCTGACATCTTCTGAGTGTGCCCAAAGCAAGAGATTCCCTGTGGGCTGAGGATTCTGACAATGCAGTAGAGGCCGGGGGCTACAGGAACTTCCCAGATGCTAGCTGCACTAGAATGTGTCAATATCCCCACAAAGGCTTTACAGCCTGCTAAATTGTTACTCTTCTCAGGAAGACAAATGGCCTGAGCCAGTGGTTGGCAAACAGTGGCTCTGAGCCACATGCAGCTCTTTGGCCCCTTGAGTGTGGCTCTCCCACAAAATACCAGGTTCAGACATGTACATACAGTGTGATTGAAACTTCATGGCCCATATGCACAAGTCGGTTTTTGGCCTGGGTGAGTTTATTTTGAAGAAGTGGCATTAGAGCACTCAAGGGGCCAAAGACCCACATGTGGCTCGTGAGCCGCTGTTTGCCAACCACTGGCCTGAGCTAAGTGGTCATGACAGAGAATGAGTCTATAGGTTGTCCAAGGTCTTTATCACAAAAGCATTTGGAGCATTTTTTGTTCAAGTTTATCCTCTTTCCTCACTAACTACTCCCTAAATTTACATATGCTTGTAATATTTGTATAGTAACTTTGCAGTTATATCATTGCTTCTTTAGAAAAAGACAGTCAAATGCATTTAAAGTCTGTGAAATTGTCTTAGCAGACTAGTATGCTATAAAAATGCACAACAACATTAATTTAGGGACAATGTAAACACCCTTAAGCCTTAATTAGAACTATACATTAATTTAATTAATTTTAACTAATTAAATGGAATAAGGCTCTTTTATTAACAATAGTGATTTTAAAAAGATATTTACATCCTGTCTGTGCAGATTTTCACACTTTTCCCCATACATTATCCTGTTTGAATCTCCACACAGTGTTGGGACATAAACACAACATGTATTTCCCCAGTGTATCATGTGAAGAGTTAACCTCTCGGTCTATTTGATCAACTCCTTAGTAACTCAGCCGCCCCCACTCAAAGCTGTTCACGCTCCCTCACAGTGGACACGTCTCACCGGGGCCATGACATCATGGTCCGCTCCTGTGTTTCCCACAGGTGGGCTCTGGTGACCTGTCTAAGTAGTCAGGCAACAAGGCCCTTTATTTGGTGCTCTTAGGATTTATAGAGCTCAAACATGAACAAGACATAGGAAATAAGCAACTGGAGGCTACCTTTCCAAAAATGCTGAGCATTTAGCAGAAGCAGCACAAATGAAGAAAGGAAATGACCTCATTGTGCTCAGCTGATTCAGTTTTCTCCATTGCCTAGAGCTTGTTTTTTTTTCACATCCCTGGAAAACACCTTGAAAAATGTCTCTAAAGTCCATTAAACACTCATAAAGAAGAAAAGGAGAGGAAAAAAGAGTGGGTGGGAGTAAGAGAAATACCTGAATCATCTACGGTTTAGATCTTAAAATCAGTGTGGCTTTAGAGATGTCGTTTTTCCTGTGGATTCTGTTTGTTAAAGCTAATGACTGGCCAAACACTAGAATGACAATAAAGGAGAGTTTCCAGTGGTGTGGAAAGGTAGCTCCATATTATCCCAGGGCGCATATAAAACACCCTTGCTCATCACCCCCTGCATCCTAAACCCCATCTCTCCCAGCTCCCCAGACCATGACAGGGGAATTCCATTCTCTCATTCAACGGGTGCCTATTCTTTCCCTCAGCTTGCCCCCACCCCCAGGGTTTCCTGTTTTCCCACAATGAAGAGGTCAGCAGAAGGCCACCGAGCCAGCTCAGGCAGGATGCATAGCCCCTGTGTAAACCATAGCAGAGCCACACGCCTCCTATTTATCCACAGGAACACCAGCACAGGAATTGTTTAATTGTTTTTATTTTCCCTTCTTTCTCCTGATGAAAATGACTGTGGGCCCTGCAATTACAGATGTGCCCACTGAGGGGATCTTGGCTGGTTGAGGGGCTTGCAGTGTTCTCAGATGTTTTAACCAAACTCATCTGCAAACCAAAAGCATGTCACAGAACTTGAGACATTTCAGAGTAGGCAGGGGCTGGCTCCCCTTCGTTTCGGAACAGCGGCGGCATATTTTCAAGTTATCAGGGAAAGAATGTTGAGTCAGAACTCATTAGTCCTGGGGCTTCCTTCTTCAGAGATGACTCACAGAGTCCAAGTAGTGACCAAGCCATTCCCAGCCAGGGTTACATCCAGACTTCTTATCTGGCGCACGGAAAAGGAAAAGTCGTCAATTATGGGGAGACATGAGACGGACACAGGCTTTGAAATCAGACAAAGCTGGGACCGCGTGCCAGCTTCAGTCCTTACTGGCTCTGTGACCTCTGTCAAGATATTTAATCTCCAGGAGTCTTCGTTTCCTCCTTTGTAAATAGGCCAAACCAATACTTGGCAGGATTAAGAGCGATAACTTGTTTGCTACATAGAGTGCAGGGCATATTATCACGGGATGTGTTCAAATAATGAGGGCGGAGGGGAGAGGCAGCTGAGTTACTATTATTGATCTCTCTTGGGTTGTTGTTATCTTTGCATGCAAACCAGCCCAGCTCGTCTGGTTTTCATGGGCCAATCACAGTAACAGGCGTGCGACCTTCTTTTCCTCCAGGTTGGTTTCATCGACTACATTGTCCATCCCCTGTGGGAGACCTGGGCAGATCTGGTACAGCCTGATGCGCAGGACATTCTGGACACGTTAGAAGATAACAGGAACTGGTACCAGAGCATGATACCCCAGAGTCCCTCTCCACCGCTGGATGAGCAGAACAGAGACTGCCAGGGGCTGATGGAGAAGTTTCAATTTGAGCTGACCCTGGAAGAGGAGGATTCGGAAGGACCTGAGAAAGAGGGCGAGGGCCACAGCTATTTCGGCAGCACAAAGACACTTTGTGTGATCGACCCAGAAAGCAGGGATTCAACGGGAGAGACTGATGTAGACGACGCCGCAGAGGACAAGTCCCCGGTCGACACATAATCTCCCTCTCTGTGGGGAGGAGAACATTCCATCCTTGACAAGCATGCCAGCTGTATGGTAGGGCCAGCCCGCCATGGGGGCCGAGGCCCGAGTAGGACATGGGCCATGTGGCTTTTCCAGTTACTTGAGTTTGGAGCCAGAGTACAAGACCGTGAAGCAAATAGCAGCTCAGGAAATTCCACGGTTGACTTGCCTTGCCTGCAAGTTGAGTGGAGAGCTGAAGCTTTATGTGGTACTGGAGGCCAAGCTCAGATCACGACTCAATGGCTTGAACATAGAAGACACAAAACTGAGAGATTTTTTTTTCTGCACTAAACTTGGGGGATCTGTCCCCTCTAGTGACTGAACTGACAAATACGTTCATTTATAGATCTGCTCACCTGTCCTGTCTGCCAACCTGTGTGCCTTTTTTGTAAAACATCACGTCTTTCAAAATGCCTGTTGGATACCTTAGACTATAGTATCAACCTCTATACAGATAGGCATTTGAAGTTGATACAAACTTTTTTGAGTCTTTCTGGGGGGAAAAATAGGAAAGAAAAGAAAACGGCCTTCCTTCTTGGGCAATATCTCTCACTTCACTACAGTTACTTTTGCAATGAGAAAGGATATGCTTCTCACCACATTCTGCTTCCTTCCCCTGCTGGCCCGTCCAACTCCACAGTTGCCCTTACAACAGATCTCTGGTTGCCCGCTCTGAACAGTATTTTTTTTCTCTTCTGGAGTTTTACGTCTTTACTGTCAACAGGATAAAGTTGAACAAACGAAGGGGTAGGAAGAGGGCATTGTGTTGTTCACAGTAGCAGTCTGTGTAAAATTCAGTGTGCTCAGGCAGCGTGTCCTGTTGTGTCCTGAACTCCTGTGCCACTGGGAATCACATGGCCCCGTCCTGTGTCCCCTCCCTCCTCTCTTCACTCTCGCGCCCAGTTACGCCATTTTCAATTCAATGCTGCCATCTCTCTGCACTGCCTTCCACGCTAACACCTCCGTTTCTGTTTATAACCGTGTATTTATTACTGAATGTACATAATGTAATGTTTTGTAAGTTATTAATTTATATCTCTAACATTGCCTGTCAATGGTGGTGTTACATTTGTGTAGAAAACTCTGCCTAAGAGTTGCAACTCTTCTTGTAACGTTTTGTATTGTGTATTCTATAACCCGTTCGTCGCCAAGACAGACAGACGGCCCGGCCACTCACCCATGAGGACACCGATGGGCTTCTACCCCGAGGGTCTGCCCTTTCCCTGTCTTGAGTTGCTAATACTGCTCGGCCCCTGAACCAACCCATTTTGGAAACAAGATTCTCACCTTAGATACTAAATGGTTTATACTGAGCTTTTACTTTTGTATAGTTGGATAGGGGTAGGGGGCACCAGGATGTAGTTTTCACCCACGTCCTCTCTGAATCTGTGTACGCATGAGTTGGGTTATAGCTGGGCTTCACTGTCATTGTGGCTTCGGTTTAAAAGGCAACACTACATTTGTGCACAGATGGTCCTTCCAAGTGTTCCCAAACTACTGACTTTGGAAAGAAAGCCTCCTGCCTGCCAGTCTGCGGGAATGTGTTCCAATTAATTACAAAAAAAGAAAACAATAAAACAATGTGAATTTTATAATAAAATGTGAACTGATGTAGTAAATTATGCAAATGTGAAGCTTCTGATAACACTTGTTTAGGCCTCTTACTGGCTTCAGTCTCTGTTTGTAAAATATATTTCATGCTTTCAGTTCAGCATTGTGACTTGTGGCTAAAGATATGGCACAAAGGTGCATGACCAATGGGTTTGTATGTCTATGAACACTGCATTATTTTAGGTGGACGTTTTGTTGTTTTCAAAAGTTTCTCACAATGTATATTATAGTACTATTATTATTATTATATATTGTGTTCACATGCATTCTTAAGAAACTTTTTTATGAGGTGAATAAACAAAAGCATGATTAGACTGTAGGTCCAATTATTTCGGGTTAGTTCTGACATATCAAAAGCAGATCTTTTTTCTTGTCTCTCCTACCACACCCCACAGAGAAAATCAACCACTTCGCCTGGCCAACATCAAAGCTGAAGTTTCAGAATCTGTGTCCAAAAAGTCCCCTGAGCTTTTACTGATTAATAACAAAAATGAATAGCTTTGAAAATGTCTACTCTAAGTATGCATAAATGCTTGCATGTCTGTTTCTACAGAGAAGTGATTCTTAACCCTTGCTGCAAAATGAAAATCACCAGGGGAATCACTATTTTTTTTTTAAATAGGGATATTTGAGCCCCATCCTCACTTCCGATTTGTTTGAACTGGTCTTGGGTGGGTGAAATCCCGAATATCCAATTTTTAAAATTCTCCCAAGGCAACCCTAAGGGGTGGGTAACTGTGAGCAGAAAAGCACTGTTTCAGAAGAGAGAAATGGCCTTGTAGCTAAGGCTTTTGTCTTAGTCCATTTGGGCTGCCATAACAAAATACCGCAGAGCAGGTAGCTTAAAATCAACAGAAATTTATTTCTCACGGGTCTAGAGGCCAGGAAGTGCAAGCTTAAGACATCAATATATTCACATTCTGATGAGGGCCCACTTCCTAGTTCCTAGCTGGTGACTTCTCACTGTGTCCTCACAAGGCAGAAGGGACTAGAGATCTTTCTGGGGGTCTCTTTTGTAAGAACATTTAATCCCACTCATCAAGGTTCCACCCTCATGACTTCAGCCCCGCCCATAAGTCCCACCTCCTAACATTCTCTCTGGGGGGTTAAGATTTCAACATACGCATTTTGGTGTGACTCAAACATTCACATCATAGCAGCTTTCTTTCACAGCAACTGTATACAGACATTGTGCACCCACCCTGGCCAGGCCTTGGTGCAGATACAGAGATGAGAGCAGAGATCAGAGATGAATAAGATAGAGCTCTACACTCCAGGGGCATGCAAACTGCTATTGTTCCTCACCGCTTGCTTTCCAGAATTCTAAATCCTAATTATGTTCTCAGGAAAGCCACATTGAAGATTAGTCTAAAGGAAAGTTAGTCGCCTGGTTCCAGGACATAGGCCATAAGTGTAAACCATCTCATATCTGTGATGGCATGCCAGTGCTTCTGATGGCAGGGAGTAACTGCAGAAGCAGAAATTACGATGGCATTTTTGCCAAGCCTAACGCTGATAGCTTGGTACTTAACAAAATACATAGGAGCCTAAGGCTGATTTATAGGCTCAGGAGCTGTCAGAGTTGAAAAGAAATACACACGTGTGTGAACACGTGTACACACAAAGGACGGCATCTCCCCAACATATTCCCATAGGCTTATTTTGACATAATTAAGTTGGGGACTCATAGTAATTTTCAGTCCACTGAAGGAAGCCTAATAGAGTCCAAGTGAGAAAGAGGGTGGTTTATTGCATGGAGCCTGTTGCCACCTGGCCTACATTGAAATCCTAACTCCTCCTACTAACTGCCCAACCTTAGACAAACCACCTCCTCCCTGGGCTTCCATTAAATGGGGACTATAAGTCTGTCAAATGGGTATAGTAAACCCAGGCCTTCTCCCACCATTTCACTGCTATCTCTCTGGGCTCCATGTCATATGTACTGATCAAATTAATGACCATATGAGCCTTAAAACCTGTGATGTGGGTAGGATGGCTGGCAAATCCCATTTGGCAAGGGATATAGGCTTTGTGCACCTATGCCCCTTGCCAAAAAATTCTCCAACCTGGTTACCTCCCACATCCCTCTAGACTCAGATCAGGTGCCCACTAAGAGGAAGCTTTTCTGATTCCCAAGGTTGAGATAAGGGCTCTTCTTGAACTTCCAGAATATTCTATGCTTTGCTACTAATTAGTTGTATTACCTTGGGCAAGTCACTTAACTCCTCTTTTCCTCTGCTTTATCATCTGTAAATTGGGGGACATTATATCGATAGTAACCCTTAGCTTATCGAGGGTTATGTGAGAACTACATGAGTTATTACATAAAGGTCTAAGAAATACAGGGGTTTGGCAAAGGAAGATTTATGGTTGTTTATATGGAAAAACATGTAGGTTATAATCATAATCAAGAACAAATTGTGTGTTATGTACTCACATCTGTAAACCTATTTTTAATTACTAACGCCTACCACCATATGTCTAAGTTAGGTGTTTGTCTTTTCCAAAAGACGATAACTCATGAAGTCAGAAGCCAGATCGTATTCCCTGTTGAGCTGCCAGTGTCCAATCCAATACCTGGATGTGTCAGATTGATATGAACCAAGTGGTTTGGGGCAAAGGTAAAATGCAACTTGATGCTTATGGCTCTATAAACCAAAAGAGGCGCTGGTCTCTGAGCTCTGGAATGGTAAAGTCATAATTTTTAAAAATATATTTTATTGATTTTCTTTTTACCAGAGAGGAAGGGAGAGGGATAGATAGTTAGAAACATCGATAAGAGAGAAACATTGATCAGCTGCCTCCTGCACAACCCTCACTGGGAATTTGCCCGCAACCAAGGTACATGCCCTGGACTAGAATCGAACCTGGGACCATTCAGTCCATAGGCCGACGATCTATCCACTGAGCCAAACCGGTTAGGGCAAGCCATATAATTTTAAAACCAAAAGATTCCTCAGAGATAATCTGGTCCATCCCTTTCCTTTTATAAATATAGAAACTGATGCCCAGAGATGACCAGTGATCTGCCCATTATCATTCATTGTACTAGTGTCCCAGGACTTCCGTAACCCAGTACAAAAACTGGGTGGCATAACCAGCAGAAATTCATTATCTGGAGGCTAGAAGTCCAAGGTCGTTGTGGCACCCAGCTCAATTCCTTCCCTAAGAACTGGTTCATGACTCTCCCCTAACATCTGGCCATCTCTGGCAACCTTTGGATTTTAGATGCAGCACCCTCCTCTCTGCCTTCATGTCCAGCATGGTGTTCTCTCTGGGCAAAGGCCTATGTCCAAATTCTCCCTTTTTATAAGGGCCAGCCTGTTCCAGTATGACTTCATTTTAACTAATTACGTCTACAACCA